AGTTCTTGGAATTTTGGCCAGTCGTTTTCTTGTTATTATTGCTGATATTTGCCTCCTGAGCTACATTATCATAGGTATGACCTTCTTGAACTCCATGATTTCTCTCTATATATCTACCTCTCTCTCTCTATATATATATATATATATATATATATATATATATATATATATATATATGAGAGAGAGAGAGATAGATATTTCTGTCTATACGTTATTTTTATAGATATAATTATTTAAGTAAATGCTCTGTTTATACTAAACAGTATTAATTAGATTTGCCGGCTTGAATGTCCGAAAATCTTTTATAAAAAACATGTGTCCTACGAGCATTTACTTAATTGTATCTATGAAGATAATGTATAAACAGAAAATATATTAAAATAATTGTCGGGCTTAATCCATTTCATAATATATGTTGTCATTTGTTTACATTAAGATACGCTTCGAGCAGATATGATCGTTTTAGAAAGATCGTGGGGAATTTGTTTGTTTAAAAATAGTAATTTGACTTTGCTAACTAGACGCTTCTTCTGTAGCTAAATGGTATAGCACGTCAGGCCAAATGACGGTTCAGTGTAGGAGGACACATTTTCTACGAAATTTCTCGTATATATATATATATATATATATCGAAAAGATTGAATGGTCTTTGACAGAACAATTAGTAGCGTGAATACAATCTTCCTTCAGTAGGTTGGTTCTGAATCCTTTTGAACACATTTTCCACATACCTGGTGTCTTCTGTAACTCTTCTTGAGGTGTCTATACTTCTGACACTTGAGACACCTTAACGGATTGAGGATATATTGTTCAACCTTCTCATAAATCCAATTTCTATCTCTTTTGGGATAGTGTGTCTGTTAAAAGTTAATACCAAAGCCTGTCGAACACTTTCGAGATGTCCAAACCAATATCCCGAACTTCAACATTCTTAACTAAAGTTGACTTTGCTAACCAGACGCTTCCTCTGTAGCTAAATGGTATAGCACGTCAGGCCAGAGATCTTTGTTAATGCATAAGCAGATGAAAGTAGGAGCTGCGATGTGAGATGCTTAATTAATTCAGTGTTTCTAGTAGTTTATCAAATGTGATAGAAGGCTAATCGGCGGATAGGTGGAAGGGTTGGACGGTTCTTCAGAGTTCTTAAAGACTGGAACTGAGAATTTCCAACAAGTAGAAGAGGCATTTATTATACGATTTAGAGAGAACAGGAGCCTGTTCGGGGGCACATTAAGAATTATTACAGAGGTACCATCTGGTCTACATGTTTCGTGGGGATACGGATGAGAGATATATTTTAAATAACAGGAGGTTATGAATTTAACCGTTTTCTTTTAATTTTTGTTACACTTCTACAGTCACGTATGTTGGCTTGGGAAAGGAGTAATTCTTTCAAGAAAGGAGGTATTTGAAAAAATCCATTGGCTTAGATAAGTTTTCCTTTTGTCATTATACACACACACACACATATATTATATATATTTAAATGATCTAAATGAAGAGATACGATCAATCTTATATGTGAGGGATTACGTGCACGTACAACTGAGCAAATAAATTGTTAATTAATCAGTGGTGTATACAAAACAGTGCTCAATGTAGTTAAACAGAGCTATAAAGTATATATTAATAATTACACATAGACCTATGTTTATAGCACGACTCAGAGTTTCATAACTTTTCCAATCATCAGGTGCATAAAGTTACAAATTAAAAATCCCCCCCCAAAACCCAACTGTATTGAACAGTTCATAATTTTTCGTACCTGATGATTGGGAAAGCCATGAATCCGAGTCATACTGTAAACATAGTTATACGTATAAATTATAAATATATATATATATATATATATATATATATATATATATATATATATATATATATATTATTACACTACAGTACAAAAGTTTGAATACACCCTAGAATTAGCATGAGCTGAACTTGAGAGAAGAGTGAAAAAAGAAAAAAAAATGAAAAAGAACTTTTAGAGTTATTGAAAAAAGAATGGAATCAATTATCAAACTAAAAATTTGAGAAACTTTTGCAGCGAATGCCCAAAAATTGTGTCGCTGTAATCAAGGCTAAAAGAAGATATTTTGGCGAGAGCAAATTTTAATCATGAAATTCTTCTTTTTCTGTTTGTCATAATAAAATTGGAATTTAATGTGTGAAATGCTTTCTTCAGCGAAAGATAAATTGATTGAAATTATTTTATTTATTTCCTAGTGGAATTATTTCACAGTATGTGCGAAATGTCTTCAGGGACATGTGAAAACACGTCAACCCTTTCAATTTTCCAAGATTTAAGAAGCACTATCCAGTCGATACTAGCTTAAATCATTCTGGTAATGAAATAATTATCTGTTTGATATCGAAATATCAAAAAAAAAAAAAAAAATTCTTTTTTTTACTGTGCATCGTATCAATGTGAACAATAACGAATACAAATAAATTTGAACGTGAAGAATATCAACCAATCAATTCGCATTTTCGAGCCATCATTTTCCCCAAGGTTATTAAATCTAGACAGTTTTGACAAAGTCATTTCCGACAGAATGGAAACAATACAATTTTAACATATATTGTTGAAAGCAAGCATCTAATTTTTAAAAATTCATTATTGCTAATAAAATTATTGAGTAATCTTATAAAAATTAACCTCGAAGAGTAATTATGTTGGGAGACTGTATTTGACAATTGAAATTTTACTTTAATTAGAGAAACACAAACAATATATTCTGCTTGTATAAAATTTTGTTTCAATCTAAATTTTTTATGCGAATTCAGTTATTACAATTGTTCCATCTTCATATAGAAATTCCATCTTTGGAAAATAAGATGAAACATATGAGAATAAGTTCTAAGACTAAGACGAGCCATCAGATCAATATTTACAAGATGAAAATCATCATGGGGATTATTATCTTGTTTGTTCGTTATTATCTTTCTAGAAAACAAAGATCACTAAAGTAGTAACGAAGAAATTTTACCCCCCCCCCAAAAAAGAAAGAGACAAGGGAAAAAAGAAGAAAAAAAAGAAAATAGGAAAAAAGAAGAAAAAAAGAAAATAGGAAAAAGAAGAAAAAAAAAAATAGGAAAAAGAAGAAAAAAAAAGAAAATAGGAAAAAGAAGAAAAAAAAAGAAAATAGGAAAAAGAAAAAAAAGAAAATAGGAAAAAAGAAGAAAAAAAAGAAAATAGGAAAAAGAAAAAAAAAAAGAAAATAGGAAAAAAGAAAAAAAAAGAAAATAGGAAAAAAGAAGAAAAAAAGAAAATAGGAAAAAGAAGAAAAAAAAGAAAATAGGAAAAAGAAGAAAAAAAAAGAAAATAGGAAAAAAGAAGAAAAAAAAGAAAATAGGAAAAAAGAAGAAAAAAAAGAAAATAGGAAAAAAGAAGAAAAAAAAGAAAATAGGAAAAAAGAAGAAAAAAAAGAAAATAGGAAAAAAGAAGAAAAAAAAGAAAATAGGAAAAAATAAGAAAAAAAAGAAAATAGGAAAAAGAAGAAAAAAAAAGAAAATAGAAAAAAAAGAAGAAAAAAAAAGAAAATAGAAAAAAAAGAAAAACTTTGAAACATTTAACGAACAAAATGAAAAGTAGACAAAATTACGTGAGAAAAAAATTGTTTTTATTTAATGATAATCCATAACATTCTCACCCCTAAATTTTATGTTTATTTTGCTGATTTATAAAATCGAATATCAATATTTTAATAAGCATCAAATAATCTATGCAGATATCGATCTAAAAGTATTTAATCTAATCTCTTAAATCGTGTGCATTTTAAAATTACTGGAGTTTATCGTTAAATTCATCTACAGTCACAGATGTTAAAGATTTGTCTTTTATGCTTTTTTTTAATCTTCGAAGTGAATCTGATTATAGAAAAATAATTTTTGAAATTCACACTGACAAATATTTGTATGCATGCCTCTCGTTACCTTATCTTACCCTAGACAGACCATTGCTAGTATATCTTCAGTGCATATGGTGTCTCTATGATTCTAATGGGTCATGGGACTTGTGACGTGATTCCTGTCACCCATTTCAGGCTCAATGTGATAGCGCCTCTGTTGTAGCAGCGGCAATTGCGAAGACAATGGTAAAACGAAGCTCATTCCTTTTCAAGCTGAAGTAAGTTCAGAATTGACCTACTAAGGACATAGTGTTCAGTGTTATTACACGTGTAGTTAGGGAGAGAAAAGATGCCGATCTCTTGCAGCTCTTTTGATGTGTATCAGGTAACATTGTCCTCGATTTGCATATTGTTACCCCGTGAGCAGTTGGTCTTGAACCATGATAAATCATGATACAACAGAATTTTTTCGTAGGTGTCAGTATTCATTTTTCCCTGAAGTTTGTAAAAACCTGAGAGCATACTTTTCTCTTCAGAGGCCGCAAACTAGGCTTGATATTTGGTTTTGAAGGTGCTCTTGACATCAACTGTCTCCGCGAGGTACCGGTTGTTTCGGCTGTTCAAAACAGTGTCAACTGTGAAGGATTTCTCGTTAGAGGATATTTTATTATTAAATGCACGAGTTTTGGGATACCAGAGAACTTTCTTGGGCGTTTCTAGCCTCCTGACCTTCTTGATGTCCTGGTGTATGATCTAAAGCTGAAGTTCACATGCACGGTCATTGTGTTGCTCTTGAAGTCCGGTTTTAGTTTACCAGCTATTTTACGCATAGATGTTGGATCCTTTGTAATTCTGGTCTTGAAGGCAATAACGAAGTCCTTATATCGTCGCTACTCTGCTTTTTATTGATACTGTTGGCTATATCTATAATCTTGATATTGCAGACAGTACGCAAGAATATGTTAACTGGTGCTTGGTATGATTTCAAGATCGATTTTTATATAAATCAAGTCTATTCTTTGTTGTTTGTCCTTCGGTGAAACCACTATTTACGATGTTCCCGAAAAACAGGCGTGTATTAATAACTGGCAGTATAGTCAATTCGGCATTTGGTTTCATATGTATTGTAGCAGTTGATCGGACATTGAAACAGGTTCTCGTCCGATCACCGAAGTTAAGCAACGTTGATCATGGCTAGTACTAAGATGAGTGACCGCTGGTTAATGCCAGGTGCTGTAAGCTATGCGACAAGTCTAGTAAGCTAGCGATGGATACAATGTCACTACTTATACTAACAGAAGGCATAGCTACGTGGAAGTACTTTGTGAGAAGTATGTATGTAAAATCTTCACAATAACTTATAGTACATAGGATTTAGCAAGAATACGGTTAAAATCAGCCACTGCTACAATACAAACTTCATTAATAAAATTTACAACCAAGATAAAACAGTCATGCGAGTAAAAAATAGAAAGAAAAATACTCTTTGATACTATATACCAGTCCGATTGCCCACTTGAAGAACACTGCCGGGTTAAATGCTTAGTCTACAAAGCCACTGTGAAATTTCAAGGTCACTTATATACGAGTATATTATATATACAAAAAGAAAAATGTATAAAACGATATTTATAAATAATAAAAAATAGGGATCAATATCCACTCAGTACAAAATCAAGCTTTAATTTAATTTTGAATTTAGAAGCACCTGTTGGCGACAACGGTTTTACCACGTAGGATCATATCAAGCTCATTTTCTTTCACTAGATTCTTTATTGGAAATCAGTGCTTCAGTGTATGGCTAGTGAAAGAACAGTATTTAATTTGCATAGCACTCAATAGTGGTATAGTAAATATCTCCGTATGTGGTTGCATACGTACTAAAATTTATTTGCTATTCAATGGTTGATCAGCCGGATCTTATGTTGCAAGTTTCTCCTTTCAGATCTAATATATATATATATATATATATATATATATATATATAATAAAACAAAGAAATTTCAAGATATTTTAATCACAAAATGTCATTTAAGCAAGAAAAATATAAACACATTACTGCTTTGTTAAGTACATTTGGATCATGAAGGAAAAAATATATACTAAAAAAATATAAAAAAAAAAAAAATCAACCTGTCGAGAAACTAATACTAATTGAAATGGATAAATTCTGTATTAGTTTTTCGACAGGTTGATTTTTTTTTTCAACTTTCACAGTTAAATTCCATTTTCCGCCCCTCTTTAACTGTACAGACATGGACTCAGTCCACACCGGGATTGATAAGACAGACGACCGATATTTTCGTCTGCCGAAATAGACTATTCCCCATATGATATAATTTTGGATTTTAATTGTTTATTAAATATATTGATATGTATTAATAAATACACTGAGGTCTTTTTGTGGATCAGTTTTAATATTTTATATTAGTAGAATCTACTTAGATTATATACCAGCAGATTTGTTTATATATATATATATATATATATATATATATATATATATATATGTAAAAACTCATCGTTGTCAATACATCGGGGTGTATGGCTTAATAATCTTGGCCTGGGTAGACTATACAAATGGGCGGCATCATAAAGTTGGGTAGATTAAACTGCTCGGAAATAAGCGATTTTTTGTGCTAGCACGAAGTCACTGATTGGCCCCACGCTCAACCTTTGAGAAATCTTTTAGTGTTAATGTCTGGTTTTTACCAAGCTAATGAGTTTCAGGTATTCGTGTTTAGAAATTAAGTTTTCCTTGATTAGTTACAAACCAAGACTAAAAGGAGTCTAGACTCAGCTGCAATTTGACCCATATCTCGTAAGTGCATTTGCGCGAAAGTGAATATAACGAACCCGAACATGGTTCGTCGATTTCTGGTTCAGAGCCGCCATCACTTTACACCACCCGCGTATCCTTTTAAAAAAAATATAGGCGTAATATTTGTCTGAAAATAACCAAAGTTCTGCGTGAAAATAATTAAAGTAAAGCAAGATAGTAGTTAAGTAGCGGTAGATTCAGTGGGCAGCGAAAACAAAAAGCAAAATCTCATCCTTACAAATGCAGTCAGTGTTAAACTTTAGCCATGTTTATTGTTTCAACCATTCATCGTATCATAATTTAACGTGTCACTGGATATGCACTTATTAGGGTTAATAGAAGTTTATAAAGTATTGATTTAATAAATCCTGCCTAAGATATTATGGAGTGCATAAAAACACGATGTATAGAAATCAATAATAGACAAATCAATAACTGATCATAAAATTCATTTGAACTGATAATTTTTCGTTTGAACCTAGTGATGTTAATTCTCAATCAATTGGTTATCAAAAAATGCTTGAAGTATTTTTCTTAATTCCATTCAGATTATAAGTAAAAATTCTGGCAATAATCTAGAATAACGACAAGAACTCAACTTATGGCAAACAGACACTATTTACATTATTCGGACTATTGTCCTCATCTTTGTCGCCATATTTATTACAACGTTTCGACCGTTGTACGCTCCGGCCTTCTTCGGGTGGTTGGAATGTCGAACTGAACCCCTTATTTCGCTCACTGGGGTAGACTGTTCTAGTTCCACGAGCCATGTCTAATGGATGTGTAGTTATCAGTTATCTCCTGTTAATTCCCCTCTCCAAGTTCTCCACCGCCTTAACCAGGTATTGAACTCACACTCATTTGGGTCCTGTAATTGGATCTAACTGACGCCTTCATCCACTGTACCATGTTTCCTTGAAATATAGACAGATATGGCATTTCTTTCGTCTTTTTTTTTGTTTGTTAAGAAATTGATGTTTGTTTATTCAGTCAAACTTTGGGAAGTGGGTTGGTAGGGCCGAGAACCTTTCGGCACACTCTCTCTCAAAAACCCCCCCAAATAAACACGTATTTTCATTGTTTAGTACATTGATATGCTGGTGGTGTAATGAATAGCTGTTCAGAATGAGAAATTGGAGAAAGCGTTCGATTTCCAGTAGAGTTTATTACACTCACAACACTTTTGCATGATCTTCTTTAGTTTCATTTCTGTGTCACCTGCATATCTTATGTTAATATTGTGGTTGTCAATGAATCCTGGTAGGACTTCTAATTCTCTCAGGATCGCCTCACGTCTGGTGAAAGATCCAATGAGAAGACACATCCTTGTCTTACGTCATTTTCTATTTTTGTGTATTTACTGAATTCAAATCCGCAAGCAGGCGGTTTATTCCCAGTAAATGTTCTCGATTATTCTAATTCCAAAATAAATCGAGCATATCTAAGAGTAATTCGACGTCTACGCAAAGATAAAATTTGGAAAAGCAGGACCATACGATTTTGCCTAATGTTTTATTTATTCATTTTTTTTTTTTTTTTAAAGGCGTGACTAGAAAGTATATGGTCTAAACATAGTCGGAGAATATTTGACCAGTCTACGATTGGTTGACGAATATTTACTAATATTTAAATAATGGAACAAAAATTAAACGAAAGTACTGTTCAATTGTAACTTTCGAAGAGGATCATAAAAAAGAAGATGGGGAACCGGAAGAAGTCCAGGAATATATCTACTTAGGGTAGGTGATACGTTCAAAAGAATGATCATAAAAATGAAATAAAACAACAATTTGTTTGAAAGTCCAATGAAAACACAAACAAAATTACATTGCCAATATGCATAAAACGTCAAGTACTTAATATATGTAACTACGGAAAATATGACAATTTGTAAAATTGCTTGAAAACATCACAGAAAAGATGAATGGAAGGAGTAGTGCTATGGAAAAAGAGAGAAAGGTAAAAATGGATCCGATAACAAATCCAAATAAAACATACAAGTTATTAAACGACAAAAATACAAGTGAGTAGAAACAGGAAAGAAGAATAATGATTGGTTAAATGGAGTTTAATTAATAAGGCTAGCATTTGTAAAGAATATTTAATTCATGGATAAATTTTGCATAGGTCGTTGTCCAGAAGGTGACTAAAATTGTTTATGGTGAAAAACACATATTGGAGTGTCAAAAAATTATAAATTTATAATTTCGTGAACATCCACCATTCTTTAATAAAAATGGCTAATTCTTTTATGAACACCGTGTTTCCCCACATCACTTGCCTTTATTTGATAAAATAGTGAGAGTATGATACGCTAGAACGTTATAAGGATTCGACCGAACAAATAGCCGTCGTTGTAAAAAATAGACGAGTAAAACGTTAAAATTAAATTGAGAAGATACCCTGACTATCTTTAGAGGTGTGTATGTTCTAGGGATTCCCTAGAAGACTGAGTAAACGAATTTTATGGTTGGGAAGAGAGGACTGGCTAGCTTCAGTCGAGATATGGCTACAATACTCCGATTTGGGTCTAATATTTTTATATTGTGCTCGCAACATTCACAAGTTTTCTTACAGAGATTTTGCAGGAAACAATAGTAAAGAAGATTTTAGCCATTGCTCAAATGCATGGGAATTTGCTGTCGATACATGTACAAAAAAAAAAAAAAAAAAACAAAAAGAACAAAAAATTACAAAAAGAATAAAAAACAAACACAAAACAAGAAGAACAATATAAAAGTTTTTTTTTTCACTGGACGAAGTGATCGGTATTGCATGCCAATGAACATGCAAATTCGTTTCACTCCTGACCAGTCATAAGCCGCGCAGTCATTAGGTATACATAGTCTAGTAGGCAGCCTTAAGAACTGCTAATAACTAGTAAACTTCTCTTGGAAACTATTCTCATTTATTTTTTTTTAACTTACTTTGTGTTTTTTTAGCACTATTATCTGTCCTTTGAGCAACGGTTCATTATGGGATTGTTACCAAACGTTATGAAGCGGTTTGGATTATGTGCCCCTAACATTAATTTATTAGCTTCGTGTTGAAACATGTCTTGTAATTTGGTAAAGGAGAAAAGAAGCCAACTAACTTACAAAATTTCGACTTATGGCTGATCAATTAATTTTGTACTAGCCTTCTGACCATGAGACCAAAGTTGAAATGTCACCATGATCGATTTAGGAAAGACGACCACAGCGTGTCATAGTTCGAATGATCAAAACTAAGAGCCACCATGCAACGTACAGGGCGTCAAATAAACCTCATGTTCTTCTTTGGTAAGGAGGAATTTCCACTCAAGAAGAAGCATCTACATAACTGTTAGTTTGTGGAACAGAAACCCACGAGGATGCTTCCTCGACGATCACAATCTTAAGATATGCACGTGACATGAATAGTCGGTGTTATGTCAA